TGGCTGTACTTTTGTATTTCAAATGCAACAAATGGCATCTGTTTTCACTCTTGAGTTTATTTTGTAGATTCACCTTAAACTTCTTTTGTTTGCTGATAAGACTTCAAGTTGACACTGAGTTCTCTGTTGGACTAACAACTCCACATCCTAAGCAGGGCACCCTTCTTGTTACATAAGACTTTGAAAATAAAACAAATGGAAAAGTGCATTTAATAACAGTTACTCTTATGGAATGCAGATTGTACTTTCTGGCAAATATAGTTAATGACAGTTTGTAGCTGTATTTTTATATTTTTTTAATGTATAATTAACATTGGGACCTAAGAAATTCATGGGTTTAGGAGCACAGACCCTTTGTGGTAGGAAATACTGGACATGCTCCCTTAGGATATGTGTGCAAACAACTGTTAAGAGACCAGGCCAGCTTTTCTCTCCATAATTTGTATGGAGAGTGTTGATCAATGGACTGAAAAGTTACCATTAAATATTTTGAATCCAGTTATTAAATATTTAGTCTCATATTGAAGGGTAGGTTATACAATCCTGAATTCAGTTTGGTGTTGGAACCCACTGCAGTTTGTGAGGGGTTAGTAATTATTTCTACTTCAGATGAACTTTAACTCTTTCCTTCAATATCAAAACTATTCAAATTAGCGAACAATATGTAGAATTTTCTTATATAAGAAACGTTTTTTTCTACTTTCCTGGAGCATTTGGAACTTCTGGTTTTTTTCTTTGTCACACGATTCTAGGTGCTGGTGCTTTCAGAATAAACCCACAGCTGTTGTCAGGCTTGCAGAAAGATCCCAAGAGCTGGCAATGCTGCTGAGTTTGTTTTGTGTTTTGTTTCAGCTCAGAAATCTGAAGGAAATCCCCAGGAAATAACACCTTGAGTTCCCACACTGCATTCCTTGCCCCTTTATAAAACTGTGGGATAAATCTTCCTAATACGAGGTTTTGCTTAACTCACTGAGGCTTTTTTGTTTGTCTTCTGATCTCTTCCTCCCTCCTCTTCCTCTGCCCTCCGGTTCAAACCCGGTATCTTGGTACCGGAAGACGCGCCTGCCGCGAGCGCCGGCACCGCCGAGTTTCAAACCCTTGTTACCAAGCACAGTTCCTGCAGCTTTTGAGGGTGGGCAGAGCTTTTCACTCAGGTTTTTTTTTGTACTCCCTTCCCCAGTTATCTTCCCCTGTCTTAAAAATCTCTTGCCTGTATCTGCAGGAAGCCAGAAGCTGTGCTGTGCTGGTGCAGGCACTTTCCTCTCCCCCACGAGATGAAGAGATTCAGCACATGAGTACAGTGTGTGGCTCCTCCTTGAAAAGAGACTAGTCTAACTGGGCAATGCTGGGAGGTTTAATTAAAAAACATTACCTACTTACATCCCCCATCCCTGGAAGCGTTCAAAGCCAGCTTGGATGGGACTTGGAGCAATCTGGTCTAGTGGAAGGTGTCCCTGCCCATGTTGGAACTAGACAATCTTTAAGGTCCCTTCCAACCAAAACCATTCTGTGATTCTATGATCTATCTATCATCTTGTCTTACATGCCAGATGGGCAGGAGGTGATCCTGTGGTTTCAGCAATCTAATCAGCTCCCAGATGGAGCAGGGCATGGCCTGAGTATTTTGGAACCTTGTTTGCTTCTCCTCTCTCCGTGTTTGGGGTTGGCATCCTTCTTTGGGCCACCTTTCCACAGATAAAGGGAGGGCTGGGAAGTCTGTCCTTTGTTGCACCCAGCAATTTCCCTTCTGGGTTTGCCTCCATGGGACAGGAAAGCAGCAAGGACCAGAGCTGGAGGACTTCTTCCAGGGTTTTTTAGTGGGGTGTGGCATGGCATGGTTGGGCAGAGGGTAGAGCTAGTGAACACTCTCAGCTTTTAGTAAACACTATCTTGCTTTTTTAACCAAGATACCTTCTTCTGCAAAAGTTGGGCTTGGAGATGATTCATATGAAATTTTCAGTTCACTGCTATCTGTTACGTATTTTGATGGGAAGCTGTTGAAAAGAGAGAATGAGAAAGAATTGACCCAAGATGGTTAAATTTCATAAGAAGACAGATTTCCTTTGTTGCTGGCAAACTGCAGCAAACTGGATTTTTGTGCTGAACAGAAGCAGATTTTCAGACTTCTTGAAGGTTGGAGTTTGTATACATATTTTTGTTAATAAATCTGCAGTAAATATTTGCATATCTGTTTTTATCTCCTAGCAGACCAGCTTGGGTATGCACTTCTATACAACCAGTACAAAAATTCCAAATCTGGACAAAATAAACATCTTTCACAGCCAGGAAGTACAAAATACATAACTGCAAAGCTTTTTTTCCTGGAAGAAAGTGTGTTTTTATCATCTGTCAATAAAACCCAGGGTTTGCAGTGAGACATGCAGGAAAGGCACAAACAGTGAAGCTCAGTGTACGAAGACAAACGAGCAGAAGTGTCTTCATATGAGCTACGTGGCCTTGGAAGTGATTCCCTGAGCAACAGGAATATCTATGTGAAAACGAGTTAACACTTGCAAATCCCCATGTGTCCTCTCTGCTGCAGACCATAGTGTTGGGATGGAACAGTTTATGAAGGGGATGATATGAAGGAGTCAATAGATTGAGCCATTCATTTCCTTATTGCTTAATTTTGTATAACATAGGTGAATGCTACTAAAAATGAGAGCTTGGAGTTTGTACTTGGCTGGATGTGAGAAAGATCTTGGTTTCTCAAAAGGTTTAAAGCTTTTCTTGAAGTGTAACACAGACTGGCAGCCTGAGTATGAAAAGAAAGCACTGTCTTTGTAAGCAGAAGTGATTATTTGATCTGTCTGGGCCGTGTGAAGGTGGCGGATTGCTGGAGGGGTGAGCACACTCACGGTGTTGCAGGGGACTCTGCCTGTCATCTTGCTCCAGATTTCCAGGCTTTTGAAGTTGCTGAGGGTCCTTTGAGGCTCAGCAAGTCATGCAGGCTGCTTTGTGGGTGCTGATTTGGAGATGCCTCTAAGTGTCCTTGAAGCTGATGAGAAAGTAGAGCAGACTTATTGTGCTCAGTTCTTTTATCTGGCTGCTGTTGTCCCCATGAGTGGGTGACTGTGGGTTTTGTGCTCACTGCCTTCTTGTACTCTGAAAGTGACCCTGAGTACAGTGGTTTCTCATACATGACATCTGAAAAGAAAAATACTGCAGACAGAAATGTCTGTGTTTCCTTGATAAAGGAAGGTCATTTCTTTAGTCACTTCTAATGGCTCAGTTGACTTCAGTGCCTCTGTGGATTTATGCTAATCACCACCAGAAACTGGATGCTTCATTCTGTTTCTCTGTGGAAATATTGATTCAGCTTAAATCAAGTGTAATTCTGCTGAAGGCAATTGACTTGAATGGTGCAAGTCATAGGTTCGCTTTGTCTGAATTTCCTTTCAGATTTAACCCAAAATGAGTCACAGAAGTGAGTAGATGGTTGTACCAAGGCAGAGCAGGGATAGTCACTGCCACCACCATCGCCTGCACAGGTTTCTGTGCCATGTGATGAACTGTCTGACTGTTTCCCCACCTTGCTCTGCCCATTCCTGTTGCTGATCATGGTGTCATTTGCTCGTTATGACTTTGCTTTCTAAATTGTTTGGCATCCCAGAGAACCCTGGGGTTTGCTGGTGGGCACTTGCCCGTGAGAAAGGTTTGCAAGTTTTAAAGTAAGAAACCTGTCAGTAAAGGTGCTGAAATCTATGTGTAGTTTTACTTGGTTGATGGCATACATTTGCTGTATATGTACTTTCTTGAATTCCAAATTATTTGAAAAAAAGCACACAACTCTGCCACTTCCAGGGAAATCTGTAGCTGTGCTGCAAAGGGAGATCTGGGGATGGCTGGTCTTTGCAATGAGGAAGGGACACTGTAGAATCACGGAATAGTTTGGATTAGGAGGGACCTTTAAAGATCATCTAGTCCAACTCCCAACCCAGTTCTCAACTAGGGATAGGTCTCAGTAAATGCAACCCTGGTAAAAGGAAGACAGAAATTCCCATTTCTCACACCCTTGAGCAGGTCAGCATCATCTCTTCCTGTAACATTCCTGTTTGGCTTCATGTCTCTCCTCAGGGATGCAGGGCTTGGTGGGGTGCAGCACAAGCTGCTCTGTCTGGGATGATTAAAACAGATTTTGGGTTTCCTGAAACAGTTCTGATTCAAAATGAAATCTGTGAACCTGTTTCCTCACACCCTTGAAGGGCCAGTGTAGCTGTGCAGCTGTGCAGCTCAGTGAGACCTGAGGAATGACTGCTTTGAGTAGAAAGCTTGTGCAAAATCAGGGTTTGACGTTCAAAAAGAGACAACTCAGTAGAAATGTCTATTTCTACATTTACCTACTGAGTTATTTTTTCATTCTGATCTATAGCATCTTTTTTTCCTTTCTTTCCTTTTGATTGGTACAAAGAAAAACCATGACAGTGCTGCCGAAGAACAGCTGTCTGACAATACTGAGAACATCTTGCACAGAGGCAGTTTCACAGAGCAAGTTAAATTCATTTCAGGAGTGACAAAATTGCTATGATTTGATGGCTGTTGGGTGTTTGTGAGCTGTGTACTGGTTTTGGTGTAGAAGTTGTAGCATCTGTGTCAATCCTCGTTCCCTCCAACTTGTCCCTTTGCAGTTCTGTCTTTCAGGTGTCTGTTGTTCTTTGACAGCTGCTTTGTTAATCTCCACCTGTGATAAAGTCAATTTAAAAAGTAGTTGTTGTGCCCTTTGCTGCTAGTCTGTCATAGTCTGGGGTAAAACCCACACGTCTCTACCTGAGAAGGACCTTGTGAAATAAAGCTCGTGGCTGGCATTAACTCTAAATCACATTAATTTTCAAGACCAAGCATGCGTTGTGTATTTGTCTGTCTGGCCCTGGAGCCGGTGCTGTGCTTTGCTCGGGCCGATGATTAGATGACTGTCTAGAGTGAAGGAGAGCGTGCGTGTCCTGCCAGGCAGCATCCCCTCCTCGCCTGCTCATTAACCCACCTCTGATTTTTTATGGCAGGGAGGAGGCCAGGGAGCCGGACTCCTGGAGCACCTTGTCTCACACGGTGCACTCGGGGGACTACAGCGTGAAGCACCACCGCGGGCTCGACGTGTACCTGCTGACGGCTGAGGCCAAGGAAGGAGCGGCATCCAGCTGGGAGAGGGACATACAGCACCTCCAGATGCACATGCAGAGCCACCAGCACAAGGTAAGGAAAAGGCTGAGGTGGTGAAGGAGAAGCAGTGCTACCTGGTTGCTGCTTGGCACCTGGGGAGGGCTTTCATACGTAGGCGTCTTTCAGAGCATATTTCTTTAGGCGTTTTCTCTGGATGCCGTTATCAAGCATCCAGGTGGACATCTGCCTGTTTTCTTCCTGTTTGAGCGTGGGGAGATCTGATAAAGTTGTATTAGGCAGCAAATGTTCTCTCTCAGAAGAGCAGCAGGCTTGGAGCAGTGCAACGCCTGCTCTGTTTGGCTTTGTGGGCTCTCTCTGCTCCCACCTCCTGCCTTCTCCATTAGCTCGGGACCCGCTTGGATGGGCAGGGAAACCTCCCTGGAGACATGCTGTCCTCTGACAGCTGTTGGGCAGCTAAAGGCAGGCTCTGGAGTGAGGCTGGTTTTGTGGGCAGTGAGCACAGTGGGTATGTCTCTGTTCAGATAGAAAGTTCAGGGTCAGAGATGAGTACGAGGGGAAAGTCTCTGGGGCGGGTGATGGAGAAAATAACTATGTCCGTAACACTTCAATGTAAGATGAGCCTGCCTCACCCACAAAAGGTACGTGTCCATAGTGGTTCCTTCACTGTGCTCCTCTCAGACCCCATGGTGGTTGGACAGCAGCAGCTGTGGGGCTTTGGAAGGGCTTCCTCTCCCTGCTTCAAAGTCTCAGTTGGGATGGGAAGGCGAAACAGCAGAACACTTCTGTGCCATTTCTCAGAAACACCCTCTGTCTTGTGCAACTGCCATCACTTGTGGGTGTTCCTTCATCAGCTCATGTAGCTGCTGTTGCAGAGGTGCAAGATCTAAATAACAGGATATTTTTGTTCCTTTAACTAAGGGAGGGGAGAATTCTGAACTGAAAGCGGGCTGGGAGGATGTTCGGAGGTAGGGACCATCCTGAGCCATTTTCACCCTCCCCTTGGTACCTGAGATGTTAATTTCTCCAGATCTCAACAGGAACTGGTGGCATGAGTGGCTAGCCATGAAATCTCTTGCCCTTTCCATCAGAAGACACTAAAGCATGGCCAACATATCCAGCTCACTGCTTGTTTGCTTGTGCAAATGCCAGATGGGTACATTTTGCCTGACAATGAAACCAGAAATAGACTTTTCTTTCCACCACTGTTTTATTTCACATTTAATCTGATTTGAATTTGGAAAGCAGCCCTGTAATTATTTCATTTAGATTTATTTCGGGTCAGTTGAAAGCCAGTTGGCTTCCTTTGGTGATGGCTATATTTTTCAGGCTATCAGCAGAGTGAGGATGCTGGGGCTGCTGTGGCCCCTCCTTTTGAAAATCTTGCATGTTCCCAAGCAAGTGTCACTGTTGTCTGTGTCTGTCCATCCTGGCTGCGTGGTCTGTGTCTGTCCATCCTGGCTGGGAGCCAGAAGCATGGTGTCCATGCCCTGCTGTGGGGTTACAGCCACTAGACTCCTGGCAGAGTGTTTGCTTGCCCTTGAAAAAAGCAGCTGAAGCCTGCGGGTACCACTGCACACAGAGCACTGTGTCCCATCCCTGGTGCTACACAAGCATGGAGATGCCATGCCTCCAATGCTAACCTGTTTTGGGAAGCCTCGGGGAGCTCTGGCATAGCTGACAGCATATATGGGAGCTGGGTAGCAGGATTATTTTGCATAGGAGGGAGATTCATGGCAAACACCAGAAGTACATTTAGTGGTCCATGATTCAGTGATTCTGTGGCACTGCTCAAGGTTTGCAAACCTCAGAGCATGGAAAGAGAAGTAAACACAATATCCTCGAGGTAGCAGTGATGATTTTAGCCACTATTTGTATATGCAGTACCCAGAAGTTCCCTGTGATGCATCAGTTAACATATTGGCCACTTAATTACTCAGGGTGTTTTAGCTGACATTTTTGGTATGAAGTTTGCTTTCTCTGAGAAATCTTAAACAAAATTTGCAGGGAGCTGTTTAAGTTAGACTTCTAGGACACATGCATTTTTTTGAAATATTTTTACAAAGAAATGCAAAAAAACCCCTCAGATTTCACATAGTTCATTAGAGTTTTGTGTTTGTGGAGAGTCACAGGCACTTAGCAAGAAACCAGTGTGACCTCAGAAAGTTTATGGTGCAAAGCCCCAAGCAAACCAAGGGAGGTCTGTGGGGTGTACGTTGAGGGATTGGGGTTGCTCATTAATTTAATAAACCACTTCTTCTAAGATGTGAACATTGATGTATTCTCTTCTGCAGAGAAGAGAATATGAAAGGAGCTATTGAAACAGGCGGTTCTTTTTAAGTAAAGGTTTGATTGTATCAAACTATAAAAGCTTGACAAAGCAGATGCTCTGGAAGGAAAATGCAGATTAGAGGGGAATTGAATATGTTGCTACTGTTCCATGATAATGCATGTATTAATTTTAATAGCATGTCATCATTTTGAAATTTTTATTTCCAGTTAGGAAATAAATTTCAGATATTTAATTATGCCTGCAATTCTCAGGAATAGATTAGATGATTAGTTCAGTCCTAGGAGCAGTGGTGTGTTTGGACAGTGTCAGCCAATGCCCAAGTCTGAAGTAGCATTTCCACCCATGTAGAGAAAATTGAGCAATGCTGGGGAGCAGTATCTGGCAGGGATCTGAGGTTGCTCTTAAACAGCATTTGCTTTAAAGCCCTTTGGGACTATGCTGATATATATTTGCATTATTTGGTAGACTGAATTCTGCTGTTTACTGATCTTGAATTTAAGTGCACTCAAGAAATATGACAACAACTGCTTGAAGAGCAATTACCAAGATTACAGTTCATCTCAGTGGTGGCAGATGGTGTAGCAAGGGGGTAGAGGGACAAATTTCAGCTTCGGGGTGTTCAATCTGACTGTTAGGAAAAAATTCTTCATGGAAGGGTGGTGTGGCATGGGAACAGATTGCCCAGAGAGGCTGTGGGTACTCTATCACTGGAAGTTTTGGGGACTTGGCAAGATAAAGTCATGGTTGACCTGATGTTGCATTGGCAGCAGTCCAGCCTCAGGCAGGTGGTTGGAGTAGATGACCTTCAGATGCTCTTTTCAACAAATGCTTCTGTCATTCTAATAATTTCGGTATTACCTTTTACCAAAACCAACATGTAAAATACTCACTGAAGTATATTTGTAACTCTGTCCTGGATGACACCAGGTAGAGGTACAGAGGGAGTCATATGGAATAGGATTGTGTAGATATAGATCTTGCACATAATGGAGACAGGGTAATTGTGTGACAGAGTAAAGTAATACTTTCTTTTTTGTGTGTGTGTGTCTTGTTACAGAGTTCAAGGCAGCAGACAGAGCCTGTACTGGGGGATTCTGGAGACAGTTGTGCTAAAGGAGCAGAGCCAGATCGTCACCTGACCACTACCTCTCAGAGCCTTGAAGAAATGGCAAGAGAAGAAAGGCAGGAAAATCCATCTGATCTGGGTCACCTGGACTTTAGGCAGCTCTCAGACCAAACCCAACAGGAGGAGAAATGCATCAGCAGGAGTTTGGGAACTTTAAATGATGCACCCAATAACTTGGTTAGCCTGGGGGATGGAAACAGCCCAGAGTCATTCTATGAAAGTAAAAACACAGAGATATTGTGTAAAAAGGAAGAGGTGGGGCCAACCTCTGCTGAAGGCTCTGGGACTGTATCAGATGAGAAGGAATGCACCGTGAGCTCATGTGCAAGTGTAAACGGTGCTGTAAATCTTCCATCCTCTGGAAATACAAATGAGGCAGCTGGAATGACATCTGCTGGAGTTGTTCTGGATCAAGCTGGCTTGGGCAGCACAGATATTGCCCATCAGGAAGTGCAAGGTGCCGAGGAGTGTGCAGCTGGCAGTGCTGCTGCTGTGGTTGCAGCTGCAGGTGAAGCCCCAGCTTCCTCGGAGGGCCTGGATGTGGTTATGGGCCAGACTGAATGCAGGAACTGTGCCGGGGCCGCTGAGAGGGCTGCGGGCCAGCAGCAGGGAGAGGATGGGATGGCAGAGGCGGGCGAGAGGACTGCAAACCTGGAAGAGGAATCTCCAGCTAAGGAGGAGTCAGCCAGTGCTGCTCAGCCCTTACTCAGTGGTTTTAATGGCACTGAGTGTTCGGATGGGGAGGATGCAAACACGGGAGTGGCACCGGCGTGGGATGGTACAAATGCAGATGGTGGCACTGGCGATGTCTCTGTTGACCTTTGCAAGACTGGCGATAACAAAGAGACTGGATCATGCACTGCTCAGGTAGACGGTGACTTTGTAGAAAGCCAAGGCAATGCCTGTGTCACAGCAAGTCAGGATGTCACTGCGAGTGCTGGAGAAGCACTACCAGCAGTGAATGGAGTGAAGGTTCCTGCATGTGCATCCAAACCTGATCCTGGTTCGGAGATCCATGGCAGCGGTAAGAGCGGGGAGCGAGAAAGGCGGGTGGAAGAGGGTTGCACAGATGGAAAATCCAGCTTACCCTCACTGGAAGGCAGTGTGGAAACTGATGGCCCTGATGCTGGACCTGAAAGCAGTGGTGTTGGTGGATCTAATGGAAGCGGTGCAGAAGCTGAGCATTGCCAGGAGAGCAGTGAGATCACTGACCATGGGGCTGAAGCAATGGAGAGTGAAAAGGAGCCAGTAGGAACTGATACCAGCAGCCCCAGAGATGGAGGAAGTGTAAATTCTGCAGGTCAGGAAGTTGATGGCTGTTGCCTTTCTGCTGCTCAGACTGGCATTAAAGATGAAATGGGCAACAGCTTCAAACCAATCACTGCTCAGGAGAGCGAACATGAGCCTGCATCGCTCCCTCCAGAGGACATGAGCACAGGCCTGGCAGAGAAGGAGCCTGCCCAGACTGAAGCAGAGAGAGTGGAAAGTGCCGCAGAGCAGGAGGGGCTGAACAATGAGGTGCAATCGCCTGCTCCCCTGCCCAGAGGAGAGGGACCGGCTGTGAGTCAGGAGGGAGATGCTGCAGTGGCACCTCCTGGGCAGGAGGCAGCTCTGCAAGGTAATGACCCTGGATTAGTGCCATGTGCCAATGGTGGTGACTGTGCCAAGGATAATTTAATGGGCACACCCTCTGCAATTCATAATGAGGACTCTAAACAAAACCAGGAAGCAGTGGCGGCGGGGGCAGACTCGGCAGAGCTCTCCTGGCAGCACGGCGGGGAGCATGGCGGGGTAGCTGCCGGCAGGCCCGGGGACCGTGCTGGGGATGAGGGCTCCCTGGAGCAGGGCCTCTCTCAGGCTGAAGGAGGCAAAGCTGAGCCTGAGTGGGAGGCTCATGCGAATGGCAAGGAGCAGGTTTTGTCAGAGGAACTTCCTGCTGCTGTTGTGAAATCCTCTACCTGCAGTCTCGGGGGGCCTGTGGTGGGCAGCAGCAATGTGGATGCTGGGCTGAAAGGGACAGTCCAACCTGAAGAAGCGTGGAAGGCCGGAGCAGTGGCCGCAGGAGAAGGCACCATGCATGGACCTGCATCAGCAGATGAGTCACTGGGTGCGGAGAGTGACCCCTGTCTGAATGCAGGGCTGAACCAAGAACATGATCCCAGTCAGACCCTACAACGAATCTCCCTGCACAGCAGCACCTCTGAGTTAAAGGACACCTCAGAAATGGGAGCCCCGAGTGATGCCTGTGAGGGTAAGGAAGTACTGAGGCCGGTGACAATGACCCCTGTTGCAGCATATCCGCAGGAGCAGGAGGACACGGAGAGCGTGCTTCCCCGGGCAGCACTCCAGCCCATCGCAGAGGAGCCCACGTGTGACAGCGACTCCAGCACCGACACCGTTTGTCCGGCTGGCGAGAGTGATGCTGGTCCTGTTGGGAAAGCAGCTCAAGGGGAGGCCTTGGATGAGTGCGATGGAAAGCAAAGCCAAGCTGTACCTGAATTGCCCTTCTCACCATGTTCCTGCCATTTACCTGCTGTTGAGTCACTGGAAAATGTTGGAGTAAAGAGTTTGGTATCGGCAGACGATGGCTCCTCTCTGGATAAAGTTCCTAAAATGGTAAAAAGTTTCGATGCAGTGGTTTTTGCAGCAGAGATACCTTGTTCCTCTGAATTACCAGCCCCAGAAAAAGGGGTGCTCGAGCCCCAGGCTGCAGTGGATGTTGGAGTCAGCCTTAATGGAGAAATGGATTTAAGTTCCTCAACAAAGAAGAAGAATGTCAGTCTGGCAGTGCAAGGAGCTGAGCCTGTTACAGGTAGGAAAAATCAGTTGGTTTCCTACTTTTTAGATTTTCTTTGTAGGCGTGCCTCTAGCATCTCATCAGCAAAGGAAGTAAGAGCTGTAGGCCTGCGCTGCAGAGGAAGTGTAGGTGTTTGGGGTTTTTCTTCTGAGAAAGGAAAAATTTGAAATTACATGTAAAAACTTCCAGTTCAAATGCATGTTGCTGGGCTGGCAGTGGAGGTAAGAACAGGACATCATCTCCTTTGAATTTGTACAGAAGAATTTCTAGCACATGAATCCTCCCTGAAGAAGGAATGAATGGGAGGAAGCTATTTGGATTACTTTATCTTCAAGTTAGATGCTTTCATCTGGGCATGAGGGTTTAGTTCCTTAGTGCTATTCCCTCCCCTTTATTTTTGCTAACATGAGGGTACAACGGGGATCTCCTGCGTTTTCTTTGCTTGTCTACTTGAAACAGCTGCAAATGTCCCTCTGAACTGCCCAAAGCTGTTTCCTAATTGGCGGCATTAGGTCATTTAAAAAAGCCAGCGAGCCCTACCCCCACCCCCTTTTCCGGGCTTCGTAGCTTTTTTTGTCGGGCAGAGCAGCCGGTGGTGCTTTCCAGTGCATTTAAGCAGTACTGGAACTCGGATGATGAGTTTTTCCTGCTGCTGTCGGCTGGGAAGCGGAACGGGCGTTCCCCGGGGATGAGTGTGATGGGAGAGAGCGGTGGGACTTGGGGACAGCTCAGACGCCTGGTGCCCGTGCAACAGGAGCTAATAGAAAACATCACCAGGTAACTCCAAAAAGGGAAACAAAGGGGTAAATTGAATAACAACAAGAAAAAAAGGGGGTTTGTTACTCCAGACTGGAATTAAATGATAGGTGAATTTGGTACTGAAGCATGGAGCTAATCTGATCTTCATATTCCACCTGTTCAGGCAGCTGTTAAATGGAAGCAGCTGAACTTTTTCAGTTGCCATTTTTTTTCTCTGCTGTGAGAAAATGCTACAGTGCCTCTTGCTTTCCCGTCACTGAACAAACAAACAAACAAAACATTTAAACAATTTTTTAAAAGTCTGCTATGATATAACATATGACACAACAAATGAAGTTGTGACGTTATAAGGCTGTTTCACTGTTTTAATGCTGGGAGCTGGTTTTTTTTTGACTTAATGCAATATGGGAAGACGGCAGAGGGTTTGTTCTGATACATGATGGCAGAATAACTGGGGGCAGGAGAAAGGATTGGGGGGCTCAATGGTGGGTCCAGCAAATCTGTTTTTCATTGAGTTCAGGATTTTTAGGACACTTATGTGTCAAGGGATAACCAGTAACTATGAGTCAGGAGATCACTAGTAAATAAGTAGAAAGATTTAAAAGTGGATTCAAAAGCCATTTTCAGAAGGAACCTGTTTTAGTGCTGTGTTGGTTTAACAGTTCAATAGGATGGGAGTGGCTGTAACTCAATACCTGGCAGGGCTTCTTTTTCCGGGGAACCTGCAGCTCTTCTGGCTCCCTCTGTACAGTCCAGGTCCTTATCTGTGGTTGGATTCTTGGAGACATGACGTTGTCTAGACGAGATTTTAGAAGGAAAAGGGACTAGACAGTCCAATAAGAAAGTAGCTAAAGTAGGAAAGTGATGTAAAGCCATCATTCTGTGTTAGAATATGGAAAGGGGGGGGGAAAAGGAAGTGATCCTGTTACTGATTTAAGATATGTAAGGATTTAGGTCTAAAAGGTCTTGGAATACAATGATCTGACCTCTCCTTAAGCAAAAACTGTTTATTTGCAATGAGATGCTGCACAGAGCAAAATTTCAGCTGTAATACTGTCTCTTGAAATACTTCAGGATTCTTTTGAAGCAAAATGTTAGGGAAGTGCAAATAAAATATTGAATTAAAGCAGAGACAAGCAGCTGCTATGAATCCAAGCTTGCTATTTGAAATGTTTCTGAAACTCACCTCCTATAAAGCAGCATCTAGAACTCTTATATGGCAGTAAATCAAGAGAACTGATTTATTGTTTATTATTATTACTGTGTACATTCTTCATGTTGATGTCTAGCCTTGGGTAGCACATTTTGTGTATGATTTCAGTGGTAGCCTTCAATTCTTCTTTGCTGTGCCAGTGCTGGGCAGTTTTCCCTGCAGGCTGGGTTTGTACAGAGGATTTTGTGTCCATGACAGAGTCGTCAGTGCACACAATGAATCACATCTTTTTTCGATGGAATACAATAAAGCCTTCCCAAGGGAAGTGTAGGTCATGAGGCCATTTCTCAGAAACACGTGTAGTCAGAGGATTTTATTGTCATGGTAACTTATCAGAGATGTGATCAGCTGATAATTGCTGTTGCCATTACTCCAAATCATTGAGCTCTTTAATTTTTTTATTTATATCGTGAAGCTGCTCCCAAATATACACCTGTTTATCTCATTGCCTCTGCTTAGCTTCCACCTACTCCCAAAGCAAAAACTTCAAAAGGCTAATTTTCTTATCCAGACAAATATCTAGTGACTGGTCACAATACTGAAGGAAGGTAATTAAGGTAGAAGATCCTGCTTTCCTAAGGCATCTCCTCATGCTGTTGGCTTTAGACTCAGAGCTGCATTGCAGCTGAGTAATGGGTTCTGCGAGCACATTTTTTGCAAGTCAGGCAGGTAGATACTACTCATTAAAAAAGAAGGGAGTTAGGATACGAAATCATACCACAGTAGCCTGGCTGGGTGAGAAGAGAAGAAATGGCATGAATTTATGCTGACAAAACACCTTGGAGTAGTTGCAGTTTCTTGGCAGAAACCAAACCTGGCAAGGTTAGATTGTACGGTTGGGGTTTGTCATCTCAAATTAACAAATACTTAATTACTGCTCCGTAGCTTTTCTCCTGGGAGAAATATCCCCAGCGTATCTCCTGTAGATCTCAGCATTTCAAAACATTCATTGACAGATAGAAGTATATCACCTTATTTTGAACTTTACCAGTCTTCACCTCATACTTATAAGTGGCATTTTCCCTATGAAAAAGCACTTAGTATTTCCTTCTCCTGTTAGAGTGGCAGGATGAACAGGTAACAAATGTCACTAATGATACCCCATGTGTAATTAGGTGCTGTACGCCCAGAGACCTCTGTGACAGCATTATAGAGCTTTTCCTTTGAGATACTTTTCTTAATAGAAGTTTAGGAAGAAGTGGCAGAGTACAAAAAGTTGTTCTCTTGAATTTCATCCTGAGGGCACGTGTTTGTCCTCCAGTTCTTAGCCAGCACGGGGTATCACTACACCACTTGCTTCTCCCATCCTAAGTGCACTAAATGTTTCTTCCTTGAATGTTCTGTCCTTGGACCAATATCTCAACCATCACGACATTGCTGTGATGCCGAGCAAATGGCACTCAACAGAAATTTGTTGCATTACCTCTGATTTTTGAGTCTGCCCACAGACTCATCCAGTTGAGACAAAATCATTGCAAAACCAGATAGTCCCAAAAACCAAGGGTAGATTTAAAGCCAGTGGAAAACCATTGGTGACAGTTGTTACGGCAACTTCCCCATGAAGATGGGAAGCTTCTCTTGCTAAATCCCTGCACGGTAAACTCACTGCAAACACATGTCACCCTTAAGAAGGCGTTGTCATCCATCCAGTGTTTGTTTTTAGTAGAAATGAGAGAGGGAGCAGGATTAGAGGGGGGTTTAGTCCTGACACAACCACTCTCCATCTGGTTGACTTTGGTCAAATCGCTTCACTCCTCTAAAAGTGTCCTGTGTGTCGTGAGAATCACTAGCTTAGGGTTGAAAGCGAATTAGGATGTTGATTTCATGCCAGGAAAAGGTAAGCTGGGGGAACCCCTGGGGAATGGTGACTAATGAAAGTTTTGTTGGGCAGAGAAAGCAGCTGGGACATGATATTTGTATGACTGCGGTGGTGACACCATCGTGGGAGCATGAGGAAGGAGATAATCAACTGGGACTTTGTAAACTCCAGCAGCAAAAGGGTTTGCCTTCCTAGTCCAGAGGTGTGATTGTCATGCTTAAGGCAGTGGAGGTGGGATGAATTTTTGCAGCTTGTAGATTATATTTTTTTTCAACACTTAAAATACCTGTTGAGAGAAGGCAAGGCTGGTTTCTTGAGTTATCTTCAGGTTATGGTAAGAAGAAAAACAGCAAAAATTTTACTTCTTTATCTAGACGAATTGGAGCCAAAAAAATACATGGGCAAATACATGCAGATGTGCTTGGCCTCACCTTCAGTTTTTCAGGAGTTTTACCCTATGCTTGCTGCTGTTTCATAGTTTCCTTCAGTCACAGACACGAAAAGTTGTTAAAACTAATAACAACCAAGGAGGAAAGTCAGGAATGAAACCAGATGTTGGAAGTCAAATGGACTTGTTGAAGGGGTTTAAATGGACTTGTTGCAGGGGTTTGGGCATCGGGTTTTCTTTTCATTTTTGGCGGGGTTTTTTGAGTCTGTTTTGAGTAAACAGAAAAATACTAGTAGCACTGAAAGGACCTTTGTGGACCCTCTGTTTTCACAGGGAAGCTGGAAATGAAAACTGAGGACGAGGTGGATTTTCTGAAGGACGGCACCGAGAGCGCAGCCTGCGAGGTAGCGGTGAGTGCACGTGTTGTCACCTTGTCTCTTGTTGTGCTGTTTAAAGACACGCCACCGCTGCTGTAACCAGCAACCAAACCTGCTGGTTTCCTTTCTGTACCCTCTGCTGAACAGCATCCATCACCATGACGTTGTTTTAGCCTTTTAAAAATAGTCTGGGCTTTTTTAGACCTTGCATTTTCAACCGCTGGATTAAGCCACATTTTTGTTTTCTCAGTGAATGACAGAGAGACTGAGCCAAGAGGTTGCTTGTGGGGTGGGGTTGTACCAAGATTTGTGTATGATTTGACAAAAGCCATGTCCTGGAATGCACTTGGGGTTGGTGATGCTGTGTGGGGGCCAGCAGCACCTTCAAGGTCCCTGCACCAGCTGCTGCCTGCGTGGTCCTGGAGAGTCTCTCCGTCCTTTCCTGTGCTTTGTCCTTCCGCAGAGTTTTTGGCAGAAGGAACCGTGGCTGCAGTGAATGTTGGTGTGTGCACAGACTCCGAGGTCTAAAGGCATCATTAGCTGGGAGTGTTAGTGCCTCAGCTGGAAGAAAAATGAGTAATAGGAGGACATATAGGGATCAAATGTGGGGTGAAAGCCAATATTGTTCATGTCGGTGAAACAGTATAAAAAGGTCATGCCAAGAATCAGGAATCTGTTGGTATTGCTTTTATTACTTGTGCTTTGCCGTATTTAAGGAGTGTCTGTGATTAAAAAAGGTGTGTATTGTGTTTGACATGAACAGAATTTTGATTTAAAGCATCCCTAATACATATTCTGCTTTGTCAAGAGCTGTGTTTTCTTGGTCTGACCTTTCCTAGCTGGATTTGCATTTGCTGATATATTTTATGTATGGTTTCTTGTACCTGAAAAAGTGTTTTGTAAATGCTAAATTGCTGTCAGCCTATGTTGGTGCACGTTGCCTTTGAGCAGCTGTGTTTGTGTGTTCCCCTACCATTATGAAGCTGTTAAAAGAGAAAACACTATGGGGATGAGTTCACGCTGCAGGGTGGAGCTCCAAAAATCTTTGCTCATCATGCAGTAAAGCTCTTTGAGCAGCAGAACAGTCTTGCCAAAGCCTGTAATAAAATCAGGTTTATTATGTTTTTAACAAGTTAAGGCTTAATTTCTGTAGCTGTTTGCTCAGTGAGTTAGCCAGGGACTAGAGAAAATAACTTTCCAAGCTAAAATTTGTACTGTCTGATAAGGAAGTCTGTCATTAGTGGAATAAGTGAGTGTGAAGATGCTGCTGATTTTTTTATTTTTACTGACCCCTTATTAAAGGTATTCCTGACCAATACTTTGGAATCTGGTAGCGAATTAAGATATCTTTAGAAAATGCAAATTAGGACATTGCCTTTTCCTTTCAAACAGACATAAAAGAAACTTATTGCATTTGTCTTCCATTTTGCATGTTTTACGGGCATTTTGATTTTTGTGTGTGTGCTTTCTTCTCCCTCTCCCTCCCGCCTCGTCAAACACCTCTTTAGAAATCTGGCTTTTCCGAGGCAGGAATGGGAGTGCCAGGGGAATGGAAAGTTTGCTGCAGGACTGACAGGGTTTCCTGTTGCTAAGTTCAACAGAAACAAAATAACAACTGCACTATATTAAGGTCATTTGAAAAGAAAAAAAAAAAGGAGTGGAGGGCTTATAAATAGAGCTCAGTTCACACGTGTAGGCTGGGCCGGAGCTGGCCGGTGAGAGCCATCGCACAGTGTGCATCTGCTGCCACGTCCTGTCTCTGCTTTATTTAGTGCTGGCTCTTTTTGTAGCCAGCAGTCTTTCAGGTGCTTATTGCCTTCTTATTACAGAGCCATTTTGTGGTTAGTAAAAGTGGTTTTCTTAACTTGTTGCAAATAGAAATGTTGTTGGTTGCACCTGGTCAGGAGCTGCAGGTATTTTGCAGTCTCACCAGTGCTCTAGGCAGCTTTGGATCTTGGGAACTGCATTAACTCCTGTTTTGTGGGGTTTATGAGAACTTTGCACAATGTGGAAAGCTTTTCAGATGCACAAGTTATGGAAAAAAATATTTTGAAGTCTAAAAAGTGCAACTTGTATAGTACAGTCAGGCTGAGGGACAGTAGCTTGAGCACATGGGGAAGAGAAGGGGGAAAACTCCTGAGTTGGTTTCTGAAGAATTAAAAATTGTGAAGAGTTTTTAGAATTAGCTGTATTCATGATGCCAGTATTACACATATAGTACAAGCTCTCACACTTTCCCCTGTAGTTGTTTCAGAAGACTCTGCCTGAGAGAGACTCTTGTGCTGAAAAATGTTTAGGAAAATAATAGTCTGTGGGGTTATAAGCACTGAAGAGAAAATAATGGAAAAATATTTTTTCCAATTAAAATGAGATTTTAAAGTGTGTTTCTTAAATTACCAGAATGATTTCTCAGAGGTTGTATCTGTTCAGCTCTAGAAACTCAGTAACCAGAACTTCCTAAACTCCTTTCAAAGTAGGCTGTGGGTGCTCATCCTGCCAGACTTCCCTGGTCCTTATCTTCCTGCTTAGTTTGGGAGTCTTGAGTAGAGCTGGGATAATCACTTGATGTGATCTATTAAAACCAGAGGTTAGCAATTTTTTTTTAAATTTGATAATTCTTAACTCTGATGAGAAATTTGGTTTGACTTCTGCATACTGTGATACTAAAATAATTTAAAATGGTGCCTGGTGGCTCCAGCAGTATAAAAGTAAAGCAACAGTTTGAAATAAACTGTATCCTGATGTGCTTCTCTCGTGTTGATCCCAGAAATTGGTTGTGATTCATTATTTGCTAAATCTTTGTCTTCACGTGGCAGGATGGATAAGGTTTCACTGCTGGGTTCATCCAATGGCTTCGGTTGTCTAAGCCTGTGAGTGAGAAAGTGTAGCTGGCTGACCCCAGGAACGGAGTTCACTGGGAAATAGCCTTCCCATTCCATTTATTAATTTTATTAGTTAGTTCCTGTTGAATTTAATGCATCCTACCTTTACCACAGGAATTAGTTTCTAATTAATGTCTGTGTTTTCGGAAGTTGCAGCTTGCTAGATAAATGTGGCATTTCTAAATACCTTCACGGAGAGTGAGGCGTGGAAAAAACTTGGTCTTTCATCTCTCCACTGATCCAAGTAGTGCAGTAATGTGTGATATATCAGCAAGGTCACTTTCTTGGGGAAACTGTGCAATATTTTCAGTCATGATTTGGAAGATGGAGCTATGTTTATAACACTCAGATGACATCAGCTTGGGAGGGATTGCAGGCGGTTGGGAGAATAGGGTCAGGGTTCAGAGTGACCTTAAGAAATTGGAGAGTACATCCAGATAAGAGATAAAAGAAACCAGAGAGTGATTCATTTGTAAAGGAGAAATCAAAATGCACATTTACCAAGTCAGGTTTAAGCTGGAGAAGGATGAGTAGAAAAAAACCCTGAGGATTACTAGTGGATTACAAATGAATCAACAGTGAGAGGCTATTGCAAAAGAGACAAATCTTGTTTTATGTTGAAGGAGTGTCCTCTATAAGGTGCGGGAGGTGATTTACTCATGTGTGGCACTGTGGAACCATCATCAGAGTCATCAAATCCAGTTTGGGGTGCCTTGCTCTGAGGAGGACATGGGTGTATTGGAGAGTGTCCAGAAGGAAACAACGAGAAGAGATTAAGAAATGTGAGAAGAGATTGAAAGAACTAAATTTATTCAGTGCAACAAAAAGAAAACCGCTGTGCAATCTAGCAGTCTGCCAGCATGTAATAGTGGTTATTAAAGTCCCAGATATCCATGGCACCCTAATTTACTCATTTGCTAATTTGCCAGGATGATTTAAGCTGGATGTTGAGAAAACATCCTGTTATCATCATAAAACTGTTGCAAGACCACCTAGGGAGGCCAGGAAACCTTCCCGGGGAGTTGTTACAGATAAGATAGATGATGCTCTGTCGGGACAGAGCCTTAGGTCTGTTGTTGCCCGTTGGTTTTGGTTTGTAGGCCCCCAGGTTTGTGCTTTGCTGAACAGGGAGAAGAGGAGGGAGCAGTTTGGCTGGAGCCTGGCAGGATGTGCAAGAGAAGGGGACTGAGATGGCAGGACTGCAGGAGATAAAGGTGGGAGGAGGGGATGCACTAGACTGGGTGGAAAAGGGCTTGTGGGAGAAATGAGAGACTCACATGGCATTAAGTGTTTCGATGGACAGTAGGTGTGAAGGATCCAGAGATTTTTCCTCATCCACAACTGTAGTCTTTCATGTTTCTCTTCTCTGAGGTCAGCAGATAAATGGAGAAAATTCTGTTTAAGGGTACAGTGACATCCACTTCTAATACCAGTGCCAGCTGTTGGTCAGATCAGGCGGTAGAGAAATGTTCTGTGACTCAAAACTACTGAGCATTGTTGGTGACCCAAGACAAGGGGTCATTTTAGTTATCCAGGCTCCAATTTATTTTCTTAGGAATTAATTATTTTAACAATCTGCTCATGCTGAAGATCTGCTAAAGTTCAGATTGTCTGTGCACACTGAAGTCCATTTTCTCCATTTGCATGTGTGTATATATGTTTGTACTATGGAATGGCAGTTACAAATCCCTATTTTCCAAAGGGCCTGCAGAACAGCGTGGGAAGCTTCCCAACAGCATGGACAATTTCAGAGCAAGTGGCTGAAGTGTTGGAAACAAATCGAAGCCAGGTCTGGTGGTGGAAAGTGCAGCCTTAACAATAGGCTGTGTCCTCACCCTGCCTCTTTAAAATCATTTGTGTAGCTCTCTCTTTGTAAATGTTGTCCTGTAACTACAGTAAACATGGAAAAACTCAGCCAAAAGGGAGCCTGCCCTAAGCCTGGCATTAGTGCTAAAGGGTGACACACACCCCCCCCATCAGATCATGGCTTTGGGCTAGTCATCTGCCAGGCCCTTTCTCACACCCACAAGCATCCTGTGTCTGCCCAGCATGCTCAAAGCAGAGGCTTTGAGATCTGGGAGGAAATTGTGTCAGATGGTCAGCCCTGAGTAAACTCATCACTGTGCAGGATACGTCACCTCGGGTTTCACC